GCCTCGCGAATGGCCCTGCTCGCGCCTGCACCCGCGGAAGCCAGTCCGCCCAGCGCTTGCCAGCTACCTTGCTCGCGAGTTCCGCCTACAGCTCGCGGAAATTTTTGCATGGCTCGCGAGTGCACGTCCCAGCCGCCTAGCCCGCGAGTTTGTTGCCAGCCTGGGAATCCCAACTCGCTTGGCTCGCAAGCCCCCTTCCAGCGACCAAGCCTGCGCCCGCGAAGCCCAGTTCGCCCGTGTCGCGAGGCTAATGGCCCCAACACCTATGCACACGAAAACACTCGCGACTTGGGCAAAAATGAGTGTTTCGCTCTCGAAATCCATGTTGCTCGCGAGTGTTTCATTAAATGTGTGTGTTTTTTGTGTGTATATTAGGTGTAGGTATAAATATGTTCTTCCTTTGTAGTTAGGGATGGATCTTTCATTTTCTCTACTTTCCCACTTTGGGAAAATGTTGTTCTTCTATTTTTCTCTCTATTCTTTTTTTCTTTTTTTGGAGATCCATGACATCATTTTCGGCAAGTTTTCCAGTATTTTTGTTTTCGTTCAAGTTCCGAGCTTCTGAATTCAAATCTTGTCTAGCACGCAATAGAAGATTGGGTACTTAATTCTAAACCACAATACTTCGATTTTTGCCTCGTTTTTTTTAATAAGCTTTTCTCAAAGTAATTTTGGGTGTTTGTTTGATGATGGATGGAAAGTTTGGAGTTTATTGTTTTTACTGATTGCCTAAATGATTGTAGGGTTTAATTTCTTGCTTATCTAGATTAAGGGTTGAGAATCTAATTAGAACTTAATCACTTAGAGTTAGAAGGTTAGTATTAATGACCTAGAGCTTAGAGTTTGCATATTTCTCTTCGTTGTTTGCATTTTGTTTCGACGTCATAGAGACTCTGCTAGTGTTAACTTTCCTATTCTCTCGTTTGCTTGTTGCTTTTCATCGATCTTGATTACTAGCTTAGCTTAGCCTTATTTCATCTCCAAGCTCACTGATTAGAATGTTTAGATTTTATTTTCTCGTTTTGTGTTTTGGATAACTGATTAGCGAGAGTCCGGGTAGCTCGGTTACCATCTACCCCCAAATTACTACAAAACACGTGCGCGCTTGAGGAGACCTTGCTCGCGCCCAGCGCCACACCAGAGGATGCCCTGCACTCGCGCTCGTGAAGCAGCTCGCGAGGTCGCGCCCTCCAGTATCGTGGCGCCAACCTATTCCGTGCTAGCGAACACTGTTTCACCTGACTCACGAGTTCTCCAGTGCTGCTAGCAGATTTTGTCCGCGCCCGTGAAGCCCAACTCACCCAGCTCGCGAGTGCCACGTCTGCCAGCATCCGAGCCCACGCCCGCAAAGCCCAGTTTGCTCGTCTTGCGAGTCCCACGCCCCTAACACCTATGCATAAGAAAGCAGTCGCGACTTGAGCAAATTTTCATGCGTTGCTCGCAAAATCCACCTAGCTCGCGAGTGTTTCATCAAATGTATGTGTTTGTAATGTGTGTTTTCTGGTGTAAATAAATATAGACATTGTGATTTGTATTTGTGAACATCACTTACATTTCCCAATTTTTTAGTAGGAAAATTAGCTCTCTTTTATTTTTCTCTCTAGCTTTGTGTTGGGAGGTCCATGACTCATATTTTTGTTGGGACCGGTTAGGGTCTTGAAATTATACATGTCACGGACTATCTACGAATTAAACCCTAAGCGCAGCGGAACTAGAAACGAGGGTTCAACGCATATCGTTTAATATTTTTTCGACTCTGAGACGTTTATGATTTACGTTGTTGGAGATCATATGAGTCTCACGTTCGTTGGGCAGCCGAAATTGGCCTCGCCATCATTGGACCTTGACCGTGTCGCTCGTCTCGCATCACCGATCGCTCACCATCCGCATTGGACTCTCCTGGACCACCGTTTAATTGGTCAAACCTCATGGACCTCAACTTTGACTCGAACCGGGTGTTGGACGCTTGTCGAACTGGTCTGGACCCGGTCTGGACTGAACTGGACCGTTGAACACAAGTTGGGCTGGGTCTGGTCGCGTCTGGGCCGCTGTCGGGCTGCACTGGACCGTTGGACGTTGTTGGGCCGCGCTGTGGCTGTTGGAGGCGTGCAGACGCGCGGACCATCGCTTGGGATGGGGACGGAGCGTGCAGGCTGCGAACTACGTGAGGACAAGGGCCACGCGGGATTCACATTGCTGCGCGCTGGAGCGCCTGCGTGGGCTGCGAGCTGTGCAACAAGGTCGTGGGTGTACGTCTGCCTGCAGGCTCTACTGGCCTGTCTACGAGGACTGTGCGCTTGGGACGAGGATGCTGGCGGTTGTGCACTACTAAGGGCCACCAGTGCGCAGCTGTGTTGTGGCTAGCCCCTCTACGGTCGTCGGTCGTCGCCTATCACCCGGTGAACTTCTTCGGTTGAATCTAATACATACGATACGCATAATTCTCGAATTACATGAAGAACGAAAAAATATTACAGGGTTGAATATATATATATATATATATATATATATATATATATATAAGGTGACGCTTCCATGAGAATGGTGCTTACTAAAATAAATAAGAATAAATCGTAGCCATTAGATCGGATGATCTAATCTAATGAATTAAATAAAAATCAAAATTATACCTTCATTAATGGTAATGTAGTAATTTTCTACCAATCACCCAATAAAGTGGACCCGAATATACATTTAATATTCTGCCAACTAACCCAATAAATAATCAATTGTCAATCCACCCCACTCCGCCCCCCGCACCATGCTGCTCTCTCTCTCACACACCCAAGCACACAACACACACATAGACATGGCCACGGCCTGAACCGGCCCGTGGCCCGACCCACGAACCGGCACCGGTCTGGCCCAGCCCGAACCGGCTCGGAACCGGCCTCCTAAGGGCCGGTTCGTTGAATCGAAACCGTAGGGCCGCGGTTCGGTCCCGGTTCCATTTTTTTTATTTTTGTCTCGTAGGGCCGGGCCGGGCCGGGCCAAATTCTTTGTTTTTCGTAAGGGCCGTACCAGCCCGTAAATTGTCGGGCCGGTGAACCGGCGGTTCGGGCCGGTTCTATGAACCAGCCCTTGGTTCTTAGCTGGTCGGTCTCGGTCCGTGTGTTGGAGGGCCCGTGGCCCGGCGAGCCGGGCCGGGCCTTGGCCCGGCACCTGGTCACGTTTACACACACACATAACACACTCGTCGGAAAAATCTCAGCCACCGCCGTCCGCTGCCACCGCCCTCCTCACACACACCACACACACACACACGTACAGACACCCAACCATAAACACCACCACACCGGAAGATTTTTCAGAAGTTGCCGCCGCTCCTCAGCCGACATAACCACCTATCACGCCGGAACATGGTGGTTTGCAAGTCCACCCTAGTGTCGCTGTCGCGGTCGATCAGAGCCATAGCTTGCCGGCGAGCCCGACTAGAGTGACTGCACGATACCCTGCATTTAGCGGCTTGTTGTGGCCACACCGACGTCGTCGGAGAGCTCCTCACAGCGGCGTCACGGTCGAGGTCAGCCCGGATAACAGAGGACCCCGGCGAGAGGGACAAAAGAGCAGCGACAACAGTGGGAGGACTCAATGGAAGGATATCTGCAAACATTAATTGAGATGCAAAAATTGGGGATTTAGGGTTCAATAATTTTTGAAAATCAGATAATGTTTAGGGGCCTATTTGTAATTTTATAGATTCTTAATGTTTTTTATTTTATTTCATGTAAAACTCTATGGTCTATAAAAAGAAATTAATAATGAATGCATATTAATGATAAGTTAAATGCACAATACTAAAAAAAAAAAAAATATGTAATATACTATTATGCATATTAAAAATAACATGTGTTGCAAATTGCACTTTATTGATATACTAATTGCACATTAATAATTTTGATAATGCACTTTATCATAGTATGATATTCGTCACCTACATTTAATGCATCAGTGTAGACGTGGCCAATTGTCGGGTCGCGTGGTTTGAATATTGGTTATAGTATGATATTCGTCACCTACATTTAATGCATCGGTGTAGACGTGGCCAATTGTCGGGCCGCGACTCGGCCTGCCGGGTCGGCGGGCCTCAATCTCATGGCCATGAACCGGCCCTAAACCGCCGGTTCACCGACCCAGAGAGTTTCGGGCAGTTCTGGGCCGGTACGACCCTTAAAAAAGATACAGTGGCCCGTCGTCCAATCCGAGACCCGGACCATTGGGACCAAAAAAAATTATGAACCGGAACCGAACCGTGATCCTAAGGGTCCGGTTCAACGAACCGGCCCTTAGGACTTAGGAGGCCAGTTCAAGGCCAGTGCGGGCCATGCCAAGACCGGTTCACGAGCCGGTACGACCCATGAACATGTCTACATCGGTGACGAGGCAGATCCTTGTCATTTTTATGTATAGTATTAAATGACGAAACATAATATAAAACAAAGGAAAATGCTAAGCTCCATATACGGAATCATTCTATCGAGATTTATAACCGTTAGATCATCTTGTAACCGTTAGAAATAGTTGATCTACAGTTACAAACCCCAACGTAATGATTCTGTAACGGGATCGTATTAGTTTCCTAAAACAAAAACAAAAAAATCTGACTCGTTTAAAGACGTTTTAATCGTCATTGTAAATAATTTAATATGGCACCATCCATAAACCGTAATTGAAAGATAATCAATTAATGAAGTAACATAGTATAATACGAAAAAATATTATACATTCACTGACCCTCTATTCGCCAAATTTAATACGGTGACAAACCATTAATCGGGATAGAAATGTGAACAATTAGTGACAAATCACAATATAATACGACAAAATTAACATACATTCATTGACGGTTTGTATAATTGAATGAAACTTATGAAGATACAATGCAAGACATACATTATTACTAATAATAACACCAGATGCAGATTAGAGAATAGAGACAGAGCAGTAATTACATCAAAACCGAATATACTGATATTACTTATATGGAAACATATAAATTATTAATTTATGCCTGCAAGATCCAACGGACAAGGATTGATCATAGCCAGATCACGAAACTCTTTGACCTCGTCAAACGCTGCCGCATAGTGCTCGTCCAAAGTCAACCACGCCTCAATCCCGTCACCTCCTCTCGTGTCCATAAGCCAAAGCACGTTCAAGAAGGGCCACTCGCTCTTGCTATCCTCATCGCATTTTGTGATCCAAACGGGCTTTCCCCACCCGAAATCCACACCGTAGAGCCCGAAGTTGCACCAGCTCGAACACGACACGTAATCCGCCTTCTCGGGAAACTCCTTCCACGTGTCCTTCACATTCTCCACATAGCCCGAGAACCCGTTCCGGCCCGCCATCCTCTCGACAAAGCCCGAATCCACCTTACGTAATCCCCCATGCACCTTGCCAAACAGTTGGGCCAGGTCTCTACCGGGCCCGTTGTTGAAGCTCGTGGCGGGCTGGAGCCAGACGAAGTTCCCAAAGCTGTTCTCGGGGAACGGCGGGTCCGCCTTTTTCCTCATGTTCACCAAATGTGTGATGAGAGACAGGGGTACTGGATTTTCCCCACCACCAACGGCCACACAAGCGGCCATGAACCATTTCCATACGACAGCTGTCACGACCTCAACCCTCGTGGGCCGGGCGGGCCCACCTTCTTCGTTTTCGGCCAGCTTGGCCCTGAGCTTCGATATGGCCGCGGCATCGAACGCGTAGCGCCTTATGACGGGCTTCCCGACCTTGAAATACTTCTTCACGACGGTGTACACATGGGAGTCCCTCTTCATGGCCGGGTTGTGGGGGAAAAAGGAGTCGAAGTCGAAGCTCGGGCCGGGCCTCAGGGCCTGCGGATCGCGGGTGTTGGAGGCCCAATCCTTCATGAAAAGGCCCATGGAGTGCCCGTCAGCCAGCTTGTGGTGGAAAAGGACGCCGATCACGATGCCCCCGCACTCGTAGTGGTTGACCTGGAACATGGCTACCTCGGAACCCGGGCCGGGCTCGTCCCAGTTGAGCACGCCAGGGATGTGGGCCCGATCGACCGACAGCACAGGATTTCGGAGGAAATCGGTGAGGTTCTTATGGAACTTGGTTACGACAAAGGGGACACCCTCGTCGTTGCAGTCGATGGAGAACTGGTCTCGGATCCTTCCTGCTAACGGGTAAAAGCGGGATAGGGTTTTCGAGAGGGATTGTTTAAGGGCTTGGGTGGTTTCATAAACGGACTCGTAGCTTTTGGGCACGCGATCGAGGTTGGGATAGTAAAAGACCATGGGAACAAAAAACGGCGGGACGATTTGGTCGAGCAGTGAGAGGTTGTGGAGTTTCTTGTCATGAGGTGTTGGTGAGGATGGCTTGATGATTTCCTTTGAAACTATCTCCCATTCCATCTTCATTTTCTCTTTTTTATTTTGGTTTCTTTTCTAGAGAAGGATTTAAGTTATGCACTTGAAGTTTGAGAAGAGAAACTAATAAGTTTTGTTGTCTTGAGAATGCTGGCTTGCATGTCTTTCTATATATATACACAAGTAGGGGATATATTCTGTTTATTTAATGTGTTATCTTTGAATATGCAGCTTATTACCGAGTTGTTGTCTTGCATTATAAGAGTTGTACAAGTTAGGTGTATATACATAATTATCACAAGTTGCCATAATATAAGGCTCACAAAACTAATCGATACAGTGAGAACATAACGGGCAGACGAATTAGACGGGTGATCCAGACGTGAATACTTTGACGAGAAAAAGAAAATTAACAAAATGGTAGGTAATAAGAGATGTACTTGTTAACTGTTAATTGTTAAGATAGTATTTAATTTATACCTCACGTATATAATAAAAATAACTAAAAAGTAGGGTAATTAAATTATAAAAAAAAAGAGTACTTTTAATGAATATTCAACAATCTCGCCGACACCCGCCGAGCTGGTCACCACCAGTAGTCGTCGTTTGTCGTTCGCCTACCATTAGTGAATGTTAACAAATCATATATCTTTAGTCGTCTCTCGACTTGATGGATACAGAGACATGCTTAATTTATTCATACAATATCTCAAACTTTGTTTTATAGAGTTACGAAAAAACCAAAGAGCTACAAAGTAAATTATTTTGGAACGTCGAAGATCAAACTATTGGATATTTGTGAAATTTATATGTATGAAAGTTCTTTTCATAAGTAATATCCCAAGGGTATCTCCCAATCATTGATCGAACCTTTCATAGTCAGAAAAACGCAAGTGAAGTTTCTAGATTTTCGGTGGTGCGTGGTTGTGGGACAGGTACTTCAACCGACAATTTCTGGCGTCTCGATTGTCCAAATCTCATTTTGTTCCTCTTTTCATAGGAATAAGATGGTGCTATTTATTACCCTTTAAACATAGAACTTTTTTTTTTTTTTTTTTGTCTCATTAAAGTGTACCTACTCTCACTCTCTTATTGTGCACTTCACCCGCGTGGGACGACACTTTCTTCCCCCAATTCTCTAAATCTTACATAGTATCAGAGTCAGACCTGCTCCAGCCTTGGTCTATATCTACTCGGTCTGCTCTGAGCTTAGACTTATGAAGGACTCACAAGTGAGAGAACGCGTTGGAATATCAATTGTGAGTTGTCCTACATTGATTTTATATGAAAAATGAACCTAGTTTATATATTAACCTAGTGGGAAAATTCTCTCATTACCAATTGATTTTCGAATGAAACTTCACTAAAATGTACATAAGTTTATTCTCTTATAGTGCACTTCATTAACGTTTTAGACCGGACTTTCTTCCCTCAATTCTCTAAATCTTACCGTTAATGTAGACAAATTATTACTTCATATTTAATTATATAGACATTTATTTAACGAAAGTCCTTTATGCAATAGAGCCTTCAAATATTAATTTAACAATCATTGTTGTATTAAATGTCTAAATTTATTGAAACATATAATATACGAGTGATTATCAAATCCACAACGGAGCTCCGTTAAAAACTTTTATCTAAATATACACATTTGTTCGTATGACGATAGCATTTCCGTATGTGAATATATATATTTATTCATCCATGTGAAAGAGCCTCATATATAATTAATTGTCCATCCATGTGAAATTACTTGATCATAGTTGACTTTTATATTACAAACATCATAAATAGTTTTGACACTCACATTTTCTTAAAATAATATATGATCCGTTATATTCATATAGTAATGCTCACCTATCCACGGTGAGCACATGTTAATATGTTCACTATTTACGTGACATGTAAACATTGGTAGTGTATTTTTCTTTTAACATATTAACATCATCAATATTTGAATTTCACATAAATAGTGGGCTTATTAACATGTGCTCACCGTTGGTAGGAGAGCATTATCCTATATTTATATTTTAAATTAACACTGTCTGATTTTTTATGTTATTATGTATCTGTTATCTGGTGTTATTCTTTTATTTACATTGGCCAGCCACCAACGTGGAAGTGGACAAGACGTGGCGGATAAAATAAAAGAGAGAAAAGGAAAGTGTGAAAAGTTAATGACATAAATAGAGAGAAAAATATAATATAATTGGGATAATTTCAATTGATTTATCTATTGTATTAGTAAAGAGATTGTATCTATAAATCTATATATATAAAAAGAATAATCCTTTTCCTAAAATGGTTATGTTAGAATTAAATACTTGCTAAATTTGAGTAAGTTTTTAATTTTTTTATTCAGTAAAATAGAAAAAGCATTAAATGCTTCTTTTAATTTGTGGGATTAGTTATGACTTATTGTAAAAGATTCAATTTTATAGCTACTGTGTGATTTTATGTCGCCCGTTTGCATTTTGCTAGAATTTCATCCGTCTCTCACATGGGTAATTAAGCATTTGTAGTTATGTTTTATGGTAAAAGATTCAATTTTGTTAGCTAATGTGAATTGTACTTATTATTCATATAAATATAAATTTTTATATATATGATAAAATTTTACTAAAATAATTATTTTATGGAATCACATTGTAGTTAAATCGAATTTCTGAATAAAAATTTAAAATGATACTTATTATGAAATGAATATATATTTTATTATCAATTACATGCACCATATGGGTTGTGTACTAATTTTACCTTTTTTTCCTTTTTTTTTTTCTTCTTAAGAAGGATCAATAATAGCGTTCTCAGTTCTTCTACTCAGTTACTCGAACTCATGACCTATTGGTCAGAGGTGAAACGTCTTACCACTCAACTACGCTTCTTTTTCGGGTCGTGTACTAACTTTAAATAAACATGATTTATGTGATTTTTTGCACAATTTAATTTAGATAACATTGAAATTTTTAATTTATAATATTAATAAATATTTCTTAACCGTGAATCGCACGAAGTTCGTACTAGTAGACTATAAAAAGAATTCCACCAAAATCATAATTCATACACCATTTTTAGAAACTCTATTTTTTCATTTAAAAGGTGAAGATTTGAAAAAAAAATAAAAAAAAAATCTAACATTCTCGAAATTTTAAAGATAACTAAATTAAAATACAACTATATTTTTTTTTTTCATTTTATTACAAATCAAGTATAGATATCGTAAGTCAATAATGAATTATAAAATAATGATTATTTGTTCAATGACAAAAGTTTGAATTTTGGCGTATTTAATATTTGTTGGAATCTTACTAATCATCTATATATAAAATTGCAAAATGCGTTGAGTTTAAGTGACAGTCTTTCAGGCTTCAAAATCCTATTTGGTGAAAAAACATGCATTGTGGTTTGGTTGGATAAAAAATAATATTATTCTAAATAATAATTTCAGGTTCGGACATTCCAAAAATATTGGAAAACTAACTTGGTAATTTCATAATAGTTTGACTAATATAACCCTTATGTTGTATGAGAACCTTTGGTAATTACACTAATTGACTAATATAACCGTGAATTATTTTGGAAGCTCTCAATCGGCTCATTAATTTCCATGAAAACCTCATATTAGCCTAATAAATACATATATTTAATTTTAAATAATAATTATTATTATTATTTAATTTTTAAAAAAATTCTTAACAATTACCCGAGTATTGTACTAGTTTAGTAAATATATACACATGAAGAGGTGTTAATAGTTTTATTTAAAACATAATTATAACTAATTAGTATTTCATCATTTTTATATACAAACACTATATTGTTGATTATCAATGAGAAGTAACGCCACAAATATTATGTATACATATTATTAAAGAAAAAAGCACATAAACCGACTGACAACCTTTTCACCTTTTGTATTATCAAATAAATAAATCCTCTCTATATATAATTACAAAATGCGCTGAACCTAAGTGGCGGTCTTTCATGCTTCGTAATCCTACTTGGTGAAAAAACATGTTTCGTATTTTAGTTTGGATAAAAAAAATATTATTCTAAATAATAATTTCAGGTTCGGACATTCCAGAAATATTTAAAAAGTAACTCGGTAATTTCATAATAATTTGACTAATATAACCCTTATGGTGTATGGGAACCTTTGCTAATTACACTGATTGACTAATATATATAACCTGATTTGTTTGGAAGCCCTCAATCGGCTCATTAATTTTCATGAAATTTGAACAATTATTGTTATTATTATTTAATTTTAAAAATAATTTTTTTAACAATTAACCGAGTATTGTACAAGTTTAGTAAATATATACACATGAACAGGTGTTAATAGTTTTATTCAAAACATAATTATAACTAATTAGTATTTAATCATTTTTATATACAAACACTATATTGTTAATTATCAATGAGAAGTAACGCCACAAATATTATGTATACATATTGTTAAAGAAAAAAGCACATAAACCGACTGACAACCTTTTCACCTTTTGTATTATCAAATAAATAAATATGTTAGTTGATATGGATGTCATACATGAAGGAGCAAAATCCAATAAATCCGCAAATCAGGTCAAGCGAAATGTGTGGTTTCGGTGAAGCAGCAAGGAGGTCGATCGACGACGAGAACTCTTCAGGTCGAAATGAGCGAGAGGGGTTCAAAGAGACAACGACAGGCTCAACTAGGGCCCTCGGATGGCATGTTAGAAACTTGACCTATAGGAATGGTTGGTCGTGTGATCAGCTTGAAAGGGCAACACTTAGGTACCTCAGCAGAACTCAAACTGGTCGCACCATTAGGCTGTCTAATACGACAGACTAAGAGATAAGAAGGAATCTTAAGGGGATAAGAGCCACACGTGGATATGACCATGTTGCCAAACAGAATAAAGTAGATAAGGCAGTTTAGGAAGCACAAACGAACAACTCGAGCAGCCCACTCGGGCAGCCTTGGGCAACAAGGGTATCACCTCCTTATATAAGGGAGTGAGGTATGCCCATATCACATTACATTCTCCATTATTTCATATATTGTA